TCTCCGAATTATTATTTTCTCTAAACGCACAGCTGTAATCGTGAAACAAAAGTTCTATAAACTCTGAATTCTCATCAATCGTGTCTCATAGTTAGAACAGTTCTCCGACTTCCCTGCGAAAATAGTTTTCAACCTGGTTAATTATAAAAGATGATATATATATATATATATATATATATATATATATATATATATATATANACTATCAGAAGCATTTTGGACGCCTAATTGGTCGTGGCAGCTAACAGTCTTGTCCACCCTGGACCAAACAACTTCCACCACAAATCATTAGGATTCATGAATATCATCTGTTATGGTATGGACGTCTATCACTAGTCTGAAAACAAACAAAAAGAGCGACAGCTCTTGTTGCCTTTCCTGTGTGAAACTAACATGTGACTTGGATTCTTCCGTTATCACGACGTGCATGCAGTCTATTCTCACCACTTCTTGCCCGTTTTCCATAACTGCAAGTTTTATTTAATGCAAACGTTCATGCTAAAGACTATCTGCGGCTTCTAAAAGTCAACGTTTTTAAAGAGCAGGACGTTATTAGCAACGATTTTCGGTCGTATGTCTTTCATCGTCCACACGGCATAAGCCCACGTCTGAAGATCAGCTAAATATCTCAATCATGAAAAATTTAATAAGCGCAAGGTTCTTTCTAATGCAGGTTTCTATTTTCCTTAGGTCATCAATAAAAAACATCTGAGTTTTTGAAATAATTTAGACTACTTTTCAAATTCCCGAATAATCTAAGCGTGAGCGATATTTATTGCATTAAGCATTATACTAATGTCGCTCAGTCTGTTTTGTTAATAATGTTGTGTGAAGAGTGGCAACGAGCACTGAATAGATGATTCGTTCTTGTTGGGACTCATGAACAGTGCGTAATATAATTGTCCCTGTTGGGACTTGAAATGTGAACCCTCCGTTTGAGAACTAAAACCCGTGCCCCTGAGCTATACAATCGAGCATCTTTGATCGTTCATTCTATTTGAAATATTATATAATTTTTATTTATGTATCTCTAGTGTGTAACAATTTGTGACTGGTTTACTGCTCCGCTTTTATTTCAATTTTCATTGACCTTGCAATGGATTTCTAATGGCCAGTGAACAGCACCAGACAGCTACCTCGTTCTTATATCGACTGTTCAGCATTAAATGGGGTGTCGTGCATCGTAGATGTACGTCTTCTTCCTTCCAACGCGGTTTATTTCCCGCCGAGGACAAAATATAGATTCTGCTAACGTGTCCTGAAACAATTCCTTTTTTAGTCATCACCATCGCAGAGACAAAGCAGAATCTCAAGAATTGAGACAGCGTTGTAGTTCGAAAAACAGTCCGTGCATCTGCGGTTGCAACAGATAACTTCCCGTCATTCAATTTCTTCCTTTTTATCCAAACTACTGATAAGTAGGCAAAATATTTTATAACAATAACGATTATTTAAGCAATGTTCACTATTCTCTGCAAGCTCCCGCGATAATTTAGTCTTCTTTCCAGCCAATTTTGTTTTGAAACAGATATAGAAATGTATTGATAGGGGAATTTCAGGGAATGAAAGGTGAATCATTGGGATACGGTGTTCAGTATGGTTCTAACGCGAATAGAAATACGGCAGCGACTGTTAGTATACCTATACTGCGTCATTCCTCTTTTTTTCCCGGTCTCGTTCATACAGCTGCAAATATCCAATGCCTGGCTACTTTAGAGGAATGTTATTTCAAAAGGCTGGTCGTGTAGTTTATCACATTTTTTAAAAATGAGAGTCAGAGTCATGGTTGTAATAACGCTTCTTTGTTGTGCTTGAGGAATTGAACAGAGAGCTAGGAACTAGGGGATGTCCATCATTGGTCTGATTTAAAATAGGTTAGACACGTTTTTTCAACTATAACCACGTGCATGAGTTACTGATTGATGAGTGCCCGATTTGTTTGCAGTGGTGCATCAACGTCCGCTAACTTATCATTCACCAATTTTGACAGCGTTTTCCATTTAGTTCCAATTTACTATAACTCTGAAATACATGATGGCATCCGAATCAATCCAGTCACGACGAATCATTAGTTCACACGTGTGGACATTGATCGTCATGCTGCGCGTGTTTTAATTGACCACCTACAGGGGTACGAACCAGTTAAGCAATTTTATATACAAACAAATTATTCCGGAGCTGGTCTCTAGAGCTAGTCCCGTAGTGTTTTTTGGCATTGCTACATAAGCTGTAGCTTATTAACTGCCCTTTCAAACGGGTTCGTAAGCAGTGTATGAGACGCGGTTCAGTATACTATTGGATCAAATCCTCCTGTACTCTAGTGTAAATAGTTGTTAATTACTGCACATTAAACAACTATCGACAAAATCGGTCAGCTGGTTTTAGGAGTTTTTTCTTCTGAAATCACTGGAAATTTCTATTTTGCTATTTTGTTGTTTTAAAGATCATTTTATTGTGATCTGTTTGATACAGTTTGAAGCGACAGACGTCTGAAATGCAATAGAATAATTACTATTCGTTGTTTGATTTCTTCACCTCGTCCTTCTCCCCGGCCAGGATGGACTGCATTGCACGAATTCAGTTCGCGAAATTTGTCTCGTCTCGTTGCCTACCTACTTCGACACGGTGCTCGTCCGGAACTGGTCGACCGAAACGGCGATACAGCGCTACACGCGGCCGCACGGGCCAATCATGGCCGGGTCGTACGCACATTGCTTCGTCACAGTGCTGATCCAATGTTGAAAAACGCACGTGGCGAGCGACCGTTGGATTTGTGTCCGGATACAGAGAGTGGTGTGATTTTGAGTCAGGTATGTGCTCCTTTTTGTTGCTCTCCATCCTATTCCTCACACCGAAGAGGTGCAATCAGATGATTGTCGGCGAATGACTGTTTTTTGTATGAAGCTTACCATATCCCTTTTGGTTACATGTGTCGATGTAATTATCTTTTGTGTATGCAAGTGATTTACACAAGCTATTCTGTTTTATGGTTTATTATTACTAGTTGTAGTATTTGAGTGACTCAAACATGGCCAGTTGATTCGTACTGTTTCGTCTGATATTTGCTTCACGATTTAAAGCAGTAGACACACTTGCAAACAAATTATTATTATATTTCACACTTTTACGAGGCCAGACGATGCCAAGCAAATCATGGTACAATAACATTTATAAATATACTTGGCTTGTGGGCTGAATACTGCCAGATTGCCGAGGCCAAGGCCAGCCGGGAAGGTGTGGGTGTGATTCCTACGCCTCTTCTTGTTCAGTGTCTACCTATTGATTATAATGACCCCGAGGTCCCCAACCCGGGAGCTTAACGCAACCTATATGATCGAGTCTCCTGGTTAGGGTTTTCATTTTTTATGTGACACACTTGTTTGACGAACAGCAGATGGGCTGGACCCCATGGTCACAAAGACCTGCTAACCAAATCCCCGCAACTTGCAGTGGCGAACCACTGGATCAGGCGTGGTATCGGTACCCTCATACCAGGTCTTATTTTGACCACCCTTGACCCGTTGCCACCAACTGCCTCCCTCAGCAAACATCGCGCGCCATGTCAACCTATTTGGTGACATGCGTAGCATGCCCCAACGAAGCAACCTATGGACGACCGCGAAAACCTAAAACTCTGCGTCTAACCTCAGCATTGCTAGTCCGGTTACAGCACCCAATTCGTGCAATGCGACGTAGACAACGGTTTTCGAACACCGACAGTATATCTTTATCCTGTTTCCTTACTGGCTGACGTAACTTGATTAGCGTAGTCTCGCTAAATGCCAAGAGCCTAGGATTCGTGTTACGCAATAACGGCTTGAACGATAAACGTGGGTAAACTGTATGCAGTTGTCATGATATGTTTTGCCACCGATGCCCTTCTATTTCTCTCACCAGGTTGACCTCTAAGATTGTGTTGGATCGTTGATTGTACCAATCACTTTGGAATGGGTTGAGGCATCTGTTACGATAGGGGCCGATTCGTCCTCCCGATGTAAGTGCCACCGCAACTGCAGGTGAACTGGTAGATGATATATGAAGCAGAATTGTGCGTCCGGTTCTGTTTTCGATTGTCCAGATGAATTCTTTGGGTATACAGTATCAATGGAAGTTGTGTGGCAGAAGACGTTCGACATCATGCTACCTTGAAGTTTTGAGTTACGTTCATTATATAATCATCCCTGAAGGCCAGTCTGATGAAATTGCTCTTCGGTACTTCGCAGACGGGATCAACCGGTGATCTTCGTCTGATGTGCACATGAATACATTTTTCTGGATAACCATTATCCAGTAGCTTCCTTCGCAGAAAAGCCTCGTCTTAAGAAGTGTCAGTAGAGCAAATATTCCTGGCACGATGAAACAGAGTTTTCACCAAGACTCTTTTGTGTGCCACAGGAACGAAAATAACAAATTGGAAGCATTTTCCACTCCATGTGGTCTTCCGGTAGATGGATCGCTGTCAGTACTCATCTGATCGCCTTCCAATTTGCATATCTAGAAAATTCAAACAACCATCCTTTTCCTTCTCAAGTGGAACATAGATATTGGGAAGAGTAGCACTGAAATGTGTAAAAGTGCTGGTAAAATGATTAGGGTCAGTAAAAATCAACATGTCATTGACATAACGTTTGTACAAACAGCCATTGTTATATTGTCCCTCAATCGTCTTTCAAATATTTCTAGAAATACTTCAGCTCGTGTTGGAACCAAGGATCTGTCCATTGCTACATCATCAAATGGCTGGTGCGCTGTTCCTCCAAATTCAAAATATATGTTCCCGGTGCTAAAATGATAAGATTTTGTAAATAATCAATGGGAATATGTGGTGAATATTCATTGAAGAGGTATAATCACATAAAAGGTCCACTGTTTCATGAAGAGAGACGTTTGTAAAAAGGAAACTAAAATCAATGGAAAACATTTTGCGGGATGGCAAATTGGAATTGTTCAATAAATGTGCAAGTTCAGAAGAACCTTAAACACAATTAAGCGTCAGAGCATTACGAATAGTGTCTAGTGTGCCCACAAATCTTGTGATATGAATTCTGCATGGATCAGATTAGTCTGAGTAGAGCACTGGGTTTGGTGTTTCTGTTCCCGTTGGTTTCAGATCTATGTATTGGGCTTCAGAAATGTAACCATCTTATAGCAGAATCTGAAGTTTTCGAGGGGTCATTTTTCCCGTGGGACTGTTATTATCAAGCGTGTTGTCCACTTTAAATTTGCTCATCCGAAAATATTTGGTTCATTTTCTCTCTGTAGTTTTCTTTAGTCATAATGACCACCCCAGAGCCCTTGTCGGGTTTGAGAAACTTTAATTCAGACATAATCTGCAATTCTCGTATGGCCTTATAGTGTTCTGCTTTGAGGCAAGTTTGTTGTCGTGTGGGTGCTGAAAGGAAGGCGTGCGAAATGTCCATCATTTTTGCATAAAACCAATCGGTATTTTCAGCCGAGGTTGCCGAAAGATCTTTTAATTTGTCAAACAGGTTTTTGAATTAAGCCTTTGTTTGAATCGTTTTCACT